ACAGTGTAAAAATGTACATTTAACAGACGTCTGTTTGTGTTTGTTGTTGCAACAAGTTTAACTCACTTAAAACAAAACCTGGACTGTGGTGGACCCTGATGGACTGTGGTGGACCCTGATGGACTGTGGTGGACCCTGGTGGACTGTGGTGGACCCTGGTGGACTGTGGTGGACCCTGATGGACTGTGGTGGACCCTGGTGGACTGTGGTGGACCCTGATGGACTGTGGTGGACCCTGGTGGACTGTGGTGGACCCTGGTGGACTGTGGTGGACCCTGGTGGACTGTGGTGGACCCTGATGGACCCTCCTGATGGGGGTAGTGGACTTGGTGGTTTGAGGTCTGAACTGTATTTATATTAATTAACTAAAGTAAACAAACTCTGGAATGGTCCTTTCAACTCTTCGTCCTCTCTCCTCCTCGTCTCTGACAGCGTTGCCATGGAAACCCGAACAGCTGTCGTCATCCGGTGTAACATCTGTTGTGTGATTTCATCCATTAACTTAATAAACATGTTCAGACACTGACGCAGCGTCTGGTTATTGATCGGGTTGCTTTTATTATCAAACTCTAGATGGCATCATCAAACTGTTGTTAACAGCGCCGCCAGTGGTCGATCAGTGAACTGCAGCTCAACCATCAATAAATTACAATCATATTCTTGTTGTATTGATCTCAACTGTAATATAATATTCAGGTATGTTTTCATTAGTGTTTAATTACCTGAACATAAGAGCCATTATGTTTCCGTTACTTTAGATAATAAAGTATTAATGTTTCCTCCTGGAAAACCTGGAAATTTAGAGACTAGTTGTCCAGTTATGGAAACACTAATCTCTGTTGTCCTGGAAAGAGTGATGGTATTGTAGCCTGTGCTGTGGCCACGTTACAGTGAGAGAAATGGGCTGATGGTTACGTGTTTATGTGACAAACATCTAATCTTTACATTATTAAGAATTATTAGGAATGCTAAGCTATACAGCATTACAATTGCTTATATTTTTATAATGATATTCATGTCATTCATTTATGCGACCTTCATTCTGCGGTGTGTTGATTCAGTGAAACATTCTCCTCACTGATCTGTTTCTACTTTTACTGCACTGTAAAAGAAAAGTTGAATTTTAAGGCGACTATCTTCACTAAAGTTTTTAAGTCAAACTTTTAGATTTCAAATATATTTCAAATGTTTGTCTGACCTCTACTCTGTAGTTGAAATAATTCATTAATAAAAAACTTCATTATTTGAGTTTTTAAAACAAAAAAATCTGTATTTTACATTTTTTACAGTCACTGTTTGGGTGCTTGAAAATCCTATATATAGTATACTAATACTACATATATATACTATAATAGTTACAACTGAAAATATTAAATGATGTGTATGAAATTATGAAATACAGAAGAAAAGTAAATTATCATTAGATCATTATAAAATACTGCAGTCAGCCACCAGGGGCAGACACAGAGGCCACTGTTGTATCTGTCGGCCATCTTTATATAATTGTGTTTTATTGTGCGCTAGCACACACCGCTAAAGCTAATGTCACAATAACAACAGACAAACAAACCTCCACCTTTGTTTGTGTTTATTTACAGTCAATATCCAGGAATAAACATCGGTCCAGACTGAACTCTGATCAGTTTGAAACTCACTGAGGTAGAAACATGTTTCACAGTTACATCAACAGGAAGTTAACGTCCTTCCATCAGATTATTTCACAATAAAAGTCAAACAAACAAACTTTACATATTAAAACCTTGTATCTCCAGGTCTGTCACTTCAGTCTCCTCAGGGTCCTAAAGTCTGTCGGTCAGACGGACAGCAGTATTGATCGCTGATCAGTTATCAGTCTGTTTGTCTTTATTTACATTTTATTTACATCATCAATACGGCGTCCAATCACAGCAGTCCTGAGTGTGTTGCCATGATGACAGTCACTGCCAGCTGTGCAGCTGCAGGAAGTCAGGCAGCGCAGCAATTCGATCCGGGCCGGACCGCGCCAAACACCTGAGCGCCTGCAGCAAGAGGGGGGGCGGGGCTAGACCGCACAGCCAGCTGAAGACTTCATTTCCCAGCAGGCTTTGCCAGTGCTGTGGCTCCTCCTGCAGGCGGCGCAGCGCTGGCGGGTTGGGCAGGTAGAGCAGCAGGAAGTCGAGGCAGCGCTGTGCGTGGCGTCGCTCTGCGGCGTCGGAGGAGACGAGTCGCTGCAGCGCGGCGTCGAGGCCGTCGGGCCGCGCGCCGTGAGCCAGCAGCAGCAGCAGACAGTCGGGGCGCGACAGCTCCACCGCCAGCTGCACCGCCGTCTTACCCGAGTCCGCCACATGTGAGCAGCCACCGCAGCCGTCCAGGTAGTCCCGCTGCCCGCCCTGCGCGTCACAGTCCTTCAGTGCCTCCACCATCATGCTGAGGATCGACACCCGGTCGTAGCGAACCGCCACCGACAGGTGTGGCGAACTGCTGCTGCGGTGGCAGCAGAAGCTGCAGCGCGACGCTCTGAGCGCGCTCACCGAGTACCTGCCGAGCAGGTAGCGCGCGTAGTCCCGGTGGTCGTGTACTAGCGCGTACAGCAGCGCCTCTGATGGCAGGAAGGGTCGCGGGCATCCGTCCTCCCAGCAGAAGACCTCCATACTGCGCATGTCCTCCAGAGTCCAGACCGGCAGCTGCTCACGCACAGCGCAGTAGAACGAGAACGCCGTCCGCTCGCACTGACGCTGCGACGGAGACGAAGACAGACATTCCAACTGAGAGGACAGCAGCCACGGCATGACGACACCCAAAAACCGGGTCCAACAGAGACCTTGTCTTTGTCCAACAGAGACCAAGACCGGGTCTGAAGCAAAGTGTCTAAAATCCCCTTGAAACCCTTTAAACTGTCTGATCCTGGTTCCAGTCTGTCCCTCAGTCGAGCCTCAATCCTCAACTGCTTCTCACTTTTATAGCTTCTCCGCCCCCCCACCGCTCTGCCGCCCCCCATCGCTCTGCCGCCCTCCGACCGCTCTGCCGCCCCCCTACCGCCCTGCCGCCCCCCCATCGCTCTGCCGCATTCGGACCGCCCTGCCGCCCCCCCATCGCTCTGCCGCATTCGGACCGCTCTGCCGCCCCCCCACCGCTCTGCCGCCCTCGGACCGCTCTGCCGCCCCCCCACCGCTCTGCCGCTCTGCAGCTGCTCTTGCCGCGCTGTCCCGCTCCTCCGCCGCTCTCCCGCCGCTCTCCCGCCGCTCTCCTCCCGCCCCGTCGGACCGGTTCAGCTCCATGTGTGGATGTTTGTTTTGGGGGCCGGGGCTGGGAGGAGCCGGGGGGGCGGGGCGGATCGGATGTCTCACATAGCGAACATAGCGGTCTTTAAAGTGCTGCAGATTATATAATGAGGACAGTCAACAACAGCAGAGTTCAGCCTGGGTTAGTTCATCTGTATTGATGACTGATTATTAATTATTACAACAACAACAATAAGATAATAATAACAACAATAACAATAATAAGATTATAACAATAATAACAATAATAATAAGATCATAAGAATAATTATAACAATAACAATAAGATGGCCGCTTTGTGTGAATCTGTTCCCGCTCTCGATCTGACACTGTGTCTCCACCGGCTACCACCGGAGGGAGCCAGGAGGCGTAAACCTCGGTGTGAACACTCGGCACCGGCCTACCTTCTTCAGCTCGTGACGTGGGACCTGGTCGACCTTTCTCTTATGCTTTTATTTGATTGGACAGGTGAAGATGGACAGGAAAGGGGGGACACCATGCAGCCACCGGTTGGATTCGAACCCGAGACGCTGCCATAAGGCCCACCAGGTGAGCTACCCTTCGTCCTGGACCCGCTTTTCTGCACCCCCCCCTCCGGGCCATCTGTAAGGCGCAGCGGTGAAGTCCTCCAGAACCTCTGCCCTCTGGCGTGGGAGCCCACTACCGATCAGCATGAGGTCATTATCCAATAAGACCTTCATCCTCAACGACTTCTTCACCGCCCGTAGGTTGGACTTCTTACTGGTGACAGAAACCTTTTTAGCTCACTTAGATCCTCCTGGACGCGGTGGACGAGCTGCTCCTCTCGGTCGACTCTCGGGACTGTGGCATCCTGATTCTGACCTCAGTGCGGCCTCTGATACAGTGGCTCATGGTCTTCTATTAGACTTTACCAGACCTCCGGTACAGGGTTGAACTGGTTCACATTCTACCTCAAAGACAGAAGCTTCTCCATCAACGTAGGCGGTCTGTCCTCTCCACCAGCCTCCGGTCTCTCCTGCGGGGGTCCAACAAGGTTTCTTTCCACTGATATGCTGACGACACACAACTGTATCTTCCCCGGTCCACTTTATTCAGTCTCACGAATGGTCTCGATGACATAAAGTGTTGGATGGCTCCAAACGTTCTATGTGGTCCCCTGAATCCATCAAGGTGATTACCAACAGTCTGGGCAACCGGTCCGCCCTCGTTAAACGTCCCGTCATATACCTTGCTGTGATATTTGGTTCCGCCTTTAAGATGAGTCCGTGCTGTAAAGTTTGTTTTATCCACCTTGACACCAAAATGAAACCCCCTTTATATCCTCCCCCCCGGTGACTGTTGCTGCCCCCAGACTGTGGAACAGCACATTATTAATATATATTATATTATTATATGCAGCATTTCTCCAAACTCATATTTAAACTAAAATTAGAATGAATCTAATAAAGTAAGAAAAACTGAACTGCATCGTCTTCATACAAATGTTCAGTTTTCATCATCCTGTCTCTCTCTCTCTGTCTCTCTCTCTCTCTCTCCCCAACCCACCTAGAGCCGGAGGATCTGTCCTAGGTTTCTGCCTTTTAACAGGCAGTTTTTCCTTGCCCTTGTCTCCAAGTGCTTGCTCATGGTGGTACTGTTGGGTCTCTGTAATTAATGTTAAAGAGTTCGGTCTAGACCTGCTCTATTTGAAAAGTGTCCTGAGATAACTTCTGTTATGAATTGGTGCTATACAAATAGAATTGAATCATCCTCATCCTCAGGAAGGTGAAAGGAGCTGATGAGCTGTCAGAATAAAAGCATGATGAGGAGCTCCCCCTGCTGTCTGCTGGCTGTAACTCATTCTGACCAATCAGGTCTCAGTGAGCAGCAACTGAACCTGGATCAGACTCACACAACATCAATACAGAAAAACTGACCTTTCACAATAAAATACCATTTTCTGTCCCGGACCTTTACACAAATATCACTGTGGAAAATAAAATGTTATTGGAACAATTACACCTTCTTTTACCATCAGTGAGTCAATAATAGTTGTTTTTTTATAGAGACCACAGTCACAGGGAGGACCAGAGCCGGAGGACATAAAGGTCACACCGACCCTCATCCAACAGACACACAGGAAACAGCATCAGTCCATTATTAGAGATACTGATGGATGTAATCAGCCTATAAACATGTAATAAAGGTTTATTTAAGTCACTTTGGCTCGTGGGTACAGTGAGAGCACGGGGACAACTTCAACACCACCTTACATCATATCACTGCGCCAACCAGCAGCAACATTACAGCTAACGGCCCCTTATATAGTTCCTGTCTGGGAGCACTGGGAGCACTGGGAGCACTATTAGAATAATAACCTCAGTCTTGTTTATTATTCAACAGACTGCTGCTCCCATTGTTGTTGTTGTTGTTGTTGTTGTTGTTGTTGTCATTTTCTGTTACTGTTCAGTTTCCCATAGAAATCAATATTAATATCAGACCTGTGTATATTCACAACAATCTATATATTCCAGTCACATCTGTATAACAGCTGTATGTTGTTATTATTGATTATATTAGCTGAGTCTGGGATCAATAAAACAATCCATTATTAATATCTGTGTGCAGACCGACTGAGCTAATCAATAATAATTAATAATAATCAATAATAATCAATAATAATTCATAATAATCAATAATAATTAATAATAATCAATAATAATCAATAATAATTCATAATAATCAATAATAATCAATAATAATCAATAATAATTAATAAGTGGGAATAGTAGTTGTGATGTTTTAGTGTGTGACCTGTGATGGCAGCAGAGAAACACACACACACACACACACACACACACACACACACACACACACTTCCTCTGTGATCGATCAGCCTCAGTGGGTCTGCTCTCTGATCAGCTGTCCTTCAGTCTCTATCGATCTGTAATCGATACTTCCGGCTGTATTGGTGTCTGTGGTCCGTCTGTCGGTGCCGGTCTGGTTGGATCTGGTTTGTTCTGGATCCGGACTAACTTTTGGGACTCGGTTTGGAGCCTCGGTCTCTCTGGAGCTGTTAGCATCTCTCTGCTGGAGCTCATTGATCTCCTGACCCAGTTTCTGGTCGATTATCGATCAGTTCCCGCTCGGAGACGGACCCGGCCGCTGCTCTCCGGACCGGACATTAGCTTTAGCTCCGAGGCTCGTTAGCCGGCTCGGTTCTGTTAGCACTGTAGCTAGGCTAACTGACGTGCTAACTGTTAGCCTGAGTTAGCAGCTAGCGGTTAGCCCGAGCTGCTCCGTCCTCGTCATGCCGGCGATGCTGGAGAGGAACCCGGAGGCTCCGGGGAAGCGGAGGGGCCGAGCCCCGGCGGGCAGCGGGCCCGGGGCGGCGGCGAACCCCGGCGGGAAGAGTCTGTCCGGTAATGGAACCAGCTGCTGGGAAGAAGGAAGTTCAGGCTCCAGCAGCGACGAGGAGCATGGTGGGTAGCCTCGATCACTGTAGTACTACTGACTACTTCTGAGTTCTGTTACTGAGCACTGTGCGCGCGCGTGTGTGTGTGTGCGCGTGTGTATGCGTGCAGGTGGAGGAGGGATGCGGGTCGGACCGCAGTACCAGGCCGTGGTTCCGGACTTTGACCCGGGTAAGACTCTGAGCCCGTTCGGTAGCCTGGAGGCGGTGGTAGCCTCGAACAACAGCAGCACTAGTTAACTAACATACATGATAAACTGGTTCCTGTCCCCTTAAACCGGTTCCAGCTCCATCATACAGCTGCCTAACTGGTTCTGACCCACTGGTTCCAGCTCTGTACTGGACCCACTGGTTCCAGCTCTGTATTGGACCCACTGGTTCCAGCTCTGTACTGGACCCACTGGTTCCAGCTCTGTACTGGACCCACTGGTTCCAGCTCTGTACTGGAGCTTTAGAAACAGTTTGTATTTAAATGAACAATGTCTCATTGTGAACCTGCTGGAGGACAAACAACATGTATGATGAGCTGGCTGAGAGTCTGAATGTATCACACAGTACTCTGTACTCTGTACTCTGTAATCTGTACTCTGTACTCTGTAATCTGTACTCTGTAATCTGTAATCTGTACTCTGTACTCTTTATTAAGTTACCTGTCTGTCTGCTCTCCAGACTCATTAATAACATCAGGTTCATTCTAGGTTTCATTAGGAAAGTAGTTTAAAAACAGGCACACAGACATTTACAGCACACTGCTGTTAGAGACAATCAGCTGATAATGATTCTGATCAATAATCCATACAGATACAGTGTATTCTGATCAATAATCCATACAGATACAGTGTATTCTGATCAATAATCCATAAAGATACAGTGTATTCTGATCAATATCGTCCATACAGATACAGTGTATTCTGATCAATAATCAATAAAGATGTATATATGTATAATAACTGGTTTGTGTTATCAGAAGTCGCCAAAGCTGCTCAGCTCAGAGAAAACCTCGGGATGTTGGTTTGGATCCCCAGCAGCTGTCTGAACCAGACTCAGTGTAAGAACCAGCTCTGATTACTCTCTACAGTACAGACCTGATCTGTCTGTGATCTGTCTGTGATCCAGTCTGTGATCTGTCTGTGATCCAGTCTGTGATCTGTCTGTGATCTGTCTGTGATCCAGTCTGTGATCTGTCTGTGATCCAGTCTGTGATCTGTCTGTGATCTGTCTGTGATCCAGTCTGTGATCCAGTCTGTGATCTGTCTGTGATCCAGTCTGTGATCTGTCTGTAATCTGTCTGTGATCCAGTCTGTGATCTGTTTGTGATCCAGTCTGTGATCTGTCTGTGATCTGTCTGTAATCTGTCTGTGATCCAGTCTGTGATCTGTCTGTGATCTGTCTGTGATCTGTCTGTGATCTGTCTGTAATCTGTCTGTGATCCAGTCTGTGATCTGTCTGTGATCTGTCTGTGATCCAGTCTGTGATCTGTCTGTGATCCAGTCTGTGATCTGTCTGTGATCTGTCTGTGATCCAGTCTGTGATCTGTCTGTGATCTGTCTGTGATCTGTCTGTGATCCAGTCTGTGATCTGTCTGTGATCTGAAGCTGATGTTTATTGTCTGTTCCAGTGGACGAGTACATCGCTATCGCCAAAGAGAAACACGGCTACAACATGGAGCAGGTAAACCTTTACTGTCTGTCTGCCTGCCTATACCCGTCTGTCTGCCTATACCCGTGTGTCTGGCTGTACCCTTCTGTCTGCCTGTACCCGTCTGTCTGCCTATACCTGTCTGTCTGCCTGTACCCGTCTGTCTGCCTGTACCCTTCTGTCTGCCTGTACCCGTCTGTCTGCCTGTACCCTTCTGTCTGCCTGTACCCGTCTGTCTGCCTGTACCTGTCTGTCTGCCTGTACCCGTATGTCTTACTATACCCGTATGTCTTACTATACCCGTCTGTTTGCCTATACCCGTCTGTTTGCCTATACCCGTGTGTCTTACTATACCTGTCTGTCTGCCTGTACCCGTATGTCTTACTATACCCTTCTGTCTGCCTCTACCCGTATGTCTTACTATACCTGTCTGTCTGCCTGTACCCGTATGTCTTACTATACCCGTCTGTCTGCCTGTACCCATATGTCTTACTATACCCGTCTGTCTGGCTGTACCCTTCTGTCTGTCTGTACCTGTCTGTCTGCCTGTACCCGTATGTCTCACTATACCCATCTGTCTGCCTGTACTCGTCTGTTTTATTGTACCTGTCTGTCTGCCTGAACCCGTATGTCTCACTATACTCGTCTGTCTGGCTGTACCCTTCTGTCTGTCTGTACCTGTCTGTCTGCCTGTACCCGTATGTCTCACTATACCCATCTGTCTGCCTGTACTCGTCTGTTTTATTGTACCTGTCTGTCTGCCTGTACCCGTACGTCTCACTATACTCGTCTGTCTGCATGTACCCGTCTGTCTCCAGGCTCTGGGGATGCTCTTCTGGCACAAACACAACGTTGAGAAATCTCTGGCCGACCTTCCGAACTTCACTCCGTTTCCTGACGAGTGGACGGTGGAGGACCGAGTTCTGTTCGAACAGGCCTTCAGTTTCCACGGGAAGAGCTTCCACCGCATCCAGCAGATGGTACATTACCACGCAGTACCAGTACAGAGGTTCTATGCTGTACCGGTACCAGTACATAGGCTCTGTGCAGTACCAGTACCGGTACCGGTACATAGGTTCTGAACAGTACCATTACCAGTACAGAGGCTCTGTGCAGTACCTGTACCAGTACAGAGCTTCTGAGCAGTACCAGTACCAGTACAGTAGCTCTGAACAGTACCAGTACCAGTACATAGGCTCTGTGCAGTACCTGTAGCAGTACCAGTACAGTGGCTCTGAACAGTACCAGTACCAGAACCAGTACAGAGGCTCTGAGCAGTACCAGTACCAGTACCAGTACACACTGCTGTATAACACTGTCTCTCCCTGCAGTTACCTGATAAGTCGATGGCCAGTCTGGTTCGGTTTTATTACTCCTGGAAGAAAAGTCGCAGTAAAACAAGTCTGATGGACAGACAGACACGAAAACACAAGAGAGAGAGAGACAGGTGAGCTGCACAGGTAGCACTACACTACAGGTAATACTACACTACAGGTAACACTGCAGGTAACACTACAGGTAACACTACAGGTAACACTACAGGTAACACTGCAGGTAACACTACAGGTAATACTACAGGTAATACTACAGGTAACACTACAGGTAATACTACAGGTAATACTACAGGTAACACTACAGGTAACACTACACTGCAGGTAACACTACAGGTAACACTACACTGCAGGTAACACTACAGGTAACACTACAGGTAACACTACAGGTAACACTACAGGTAACACTACAGGTAACACTACAGGTAACACTGCAGGTAACACTACAGGTAACACTACAGGTACTACACTGCAGGTAACACTACAGGTAACACTGCAGGTAACACGGTAACACTACAGGTAACACTGCAGGTAACACTACAGGTAACACTACAGGTAACACTGCAGGTAACACTGCAGGTAACACTGCAGGTAACACTACAGGTAACACTACAGGTAACACTACAGGTAACACTACAGGTAACACTGCAGGTAACACTACAGGTAACACTGCAGGTAACACTACACTACAGGTAACACTACAGGTAACACTACACTGCAGGTAACACTACAGGTAACACTACTGCAGGTAACACTACACTACAGGTAACACTACAGGTAACACTACACTACAGGTAACACTACAGGTAACACTACACTGCAGGTAACACTGCAGGTAACACTACACTGCAGGTAACACTGCAGGTAACACTACAGGTAACACTACAGGTAACACTGCAGGTAACACTGCAGGTAACACTACAGGTAACACCAGGTAACACTGCAGGTAACACTACAGGTAACACTACAGGTAACACTACAGGTAACACTACAAGTGAACTCTGTGTTTCAGTGACGATGAAGTTGAAGAGGGAAACGTGAATCCTCCCAGTGACTCAGAGTTTGAGCCAAATAAAGACGACAAGAAGGAGGTAAAATACTGTTTTCTGACTGTTTACTGACTATTTACTGATTGTTTATCTACTGTTTACTATTTACTGATTGTTTACTGACTATTTACTGATTGTTTACTGACTATTTACTGATGGTTTACTGACTATTTACTGATGGTTTACTGACTATTTACTGATTGTTTACTGACTGTTTACTATTTACTGATTGTTTACTGACTGTTTACTAATTGTTTACTGACTGTTTACTGATCGTTTACCGACTGTTTACTATTTACTGATTGTTTACTGGTTGTTTACTCTTTACTGACTGTTTACTGACTGACTGACTGGTTTCAGGTGAGTTCTGGATCAGAGAGGTCAGAGGTCAAACCAGCTGCGGGACTGAAGGTAAGAACACCTGATCTGTCTCTCTCTCTCTGTACCTGTCTGTCTCTGTACCTGTCTCTCTCTCTGTGTACCTGTGTCTCTCTCTCTCTCTCTCAATTCAATTCAATTCAAATGGCTTTATTGACATAACGTAACACTGTACATATTGCCAAAGCAAGCGTTTGGAATTAAAAATAATAATAATAACAATAAAGGAAAACAATATTAACAATAAATTAATTATAATCTCTACTGTTCGTAATACTGTAACTATGATTGACTCAATCACAGTCACAATCAATCAATCAATCAGTTTGTGTCAACTATAAATGTCATTAAAACAGAAGTAAAGTAACTACAGTTAAAACAAGTAATCTGTTGTCAATATAACAGTAATAACAAATTATTAAATATAATATATATAATATTAAAATATATTCAAATTAAATAGATAGACAAAACTGTAAACGTGTGTGTGTGTGTAAAAACAACAACAACTAAAACAATCAATTATTTTATACATTTATCTGAGTTTCCACTGGTCGTCCTCAGTTCGTGGCATGAGGAGACATATTTTGCTGCAATAATTTGACTTTTGGGCATTTCTCCCAGTAAATAGGGGAGTTTGTGTGTGTCTGATAATAATTTGAATTTGGGGAATATTTGGGAAATGTTTGCGAATAGTTTTTCTCTTAAAGTTTTGAATTTAGGGCATGAGGTTAGAAAGTGCAGCTCTGTCTCTACCTGTCCTCTGTCACACTGGGAGCAGAGTCTCTCCTCTTCTGGTAGCCAGTTCTGTCTGTGGCGACCCGTTTCTATGGCCAGGCTGTGTTCACTCAGTCTGAACATTGTCAACATTGTTCTTAGTTCAGGACATTTTATTGTGATCAGGTAATTTGCCAGTTTGAATTCTCTTTTTAGGGTCAGATAACATTGTAATTTACTTACCTGTGTGTGTGTGTGTGTCTCTCTCTCTCTGTACCTGTCTCTCTATGGACCTGTCTGTCTCTCTGTGCCACAGACAGGCAGTAAGGCGTCCCAGCGGCTGAAGAAGCGTCCTCCCAGAGGAATGTTTCTGAATCAGGAGGACGTCGTCTCGCTCTCGTCTTCGTCTCCTCAGGGATTCATCAGACAGCTGGACTGTCAGCTGGTGTCCATCAAGAGACAGGTCTGTCTGTCTGATCGCCTGTCTGTCTGTTCACCTGTCCTTCTCTCTCTCCTCACCTGTATCTCCCTCTGTGTTTCAGATTCAGACCATCAAACAGTCAAACAGCTGCCTGAAGGAGAAAATCAGTACAGGGGTCGAGGAGTTCAGACAACCCGAGGTAACCACGGCAACACAGCAATATATAGCCACATATAGCAATATATAGCAACATATACTAATATATAGCAATATATAGCAACATATACTAATATATAGCAATATATAGCAACATATACTAATATATAGCAATATATAGCAACATATAATGTAGATATATATACATAGCAATATATAGCAACATATACTAATATATAGTCCATATTGCAACATATACTAATATATAACAACGTACCGCAATATATAGCAACATATACTAATATATAGTCCATATTGCAACATATACTAATATATAGTCCATATTGCAACATATACTAATATATAGCAATATATAGCAACATATACTAATATATAGTCCATATTGCAACATATACTAATATATAGTCCATATTGCAACATATACTAATATATAGCAATATATAGCAACATATACTAATATATAGTCCATATTGCAACATATACTAATATATAGCAATATATAGCAACATATACTAATATATAGTCCATATTGCAACATATACTAATATATAGTCCATATTGCAACATATACTAATATATAGTCCATATTGCAACATATACTAATATATAGCAATATATAGCAACATATAATGTAGATATATATACATAGCAACATATAGCAACATGGAGTTGCTGTAGTTGCTGATCTTTTTGTTTTTATGTTGCTGTTTTTCAGGTGAATCAGAAGTTTAACACTCGTTGGACCACAGAGGAGCAGCTGCTCGCTGTACAAGGTAACTACCTCTAACCTGAACTACCTGTAACCAGGTGAACTGACAAACACCTGGAATAATTCAACCTTAAATGCTTAAATCAAACTTCTCAGTCGGTGACTCTCCCTCTTGTCCAATGACACACAGCCATCAGGAAGTATGGGCGGGACTTCCAGGCAATCTCAGATGTGATTGGTAACAAGTCGGTGGTTCAGGTGAAGAACTTCCTGGTGAACTACAGACGGAGGTTTAACCTGGACGAAGTTCTTCAAGAGTGGGAGGCTGAGCACGGGATGGAGGGGGGAGACAGGGGTGGAGGAGAGGAGGACAAGATGGACGACAAGATGGAGGACAAGATGGAGGACAAGATGGAGGTGTGTCCTGCTGAGGAGGAGGAGGCCACTGCTAAGGAGACAAAGGAGGTAAGAACTTTTCATGTTTACTACAAATCCCAGAATCCTCTGTTGATCACTTCACTACACTTACTACTGTTACTGTGACTCTACTGTTACTGTGACTCTGCTGTTACTGTGACTGTGACTCTGCTGTTACTGTGACTCTGCTGTTTTACTGTGACTCTGCTGTTACTGTGACTCGACTGTTACTGTGACTGTGACTCTGCTGTTACTGTGACTCTGCTGTTACTGTGACTCTACTGTTACTGTGACTCTACTGTTACTGTGACTCTGCTGTTACTGTGACTGTGACTCTGCTGTTACTGTGACTGTGACTCTGCTGTTACTGTGACTCTACTGTTACTGTGACTCTACTGTTACTGTGACTCTACTGTTACTGTGACTCTGCTGTTACTGTGACTGTGACTCTGCTGTTACTGTGACTCGACTGTTACTGTGACTGTGACTCTGCTGTTACTGTGACTGTGACTCTGCTGTTACTGTGACTCTACTGTTACTGTGACTCTACTGTGACTCGACTGTGACTGTGACCCTGCTGTGACTGTGACTCTGCTGTTACTGTGACTCGACTGTGACTCTACTGTGACTGTGACTCTGCTGTTGCTGTGACTCTGCTGTTACTGTGACTCTACTGTTACTGTGACTGTGACTCTACTGTGACTGTGACTCTACTGTTACTGTGACTCTACTGTTACTGTGACTCTACTGTTACTGTGACTCTACTGTTACTGTGACTGTGACTCTGCTGTTACTGTGACTCTGCTGTTACTGTGACTCTGCTGTTACTGTGACTCTACTGTTACTGTGACTCTACAGTTATTGTGACTCTACTGTTACTGTGACTGACTCGACTGTGACTGTGACTCTACTGTTACTGTGACTCTGCTGTTACTGTGACTCTACTGTTACTGTGACTCTGCTGTTACTGTGACTCTACTGTTACTGTGACTCTATAGTTATTGTGACTCTACTGTTACTGTGACTCTACTGTTACTGTGACTGACTCGACTGTGACTGTGACTCTACTGTGACTGTGACTCTACTGTTACTGTGACTGTGACTCTACTGTGACTCTACTGTTACTGTGACTCTACTGTGACTGTAACTGTGACTCTGCTGTTACTGTGACTGTGACTCTACTGTTACTGTGACTCTGCTGTTACTGTGACTCTGCTGTTACTGTGACTGTGAGTCTACTGTTACTGTGACTGTGACTCTACTGTTACTGTGACTGTGACTCTGCTGTTACTGTGACTCTGCTGTTACTGTGACTCTACTGTTACTGTGACTCTACTGTTACTGTGACTGTGACTCTACTGTTACTGTGACTGTGACTCTGCTGTTACTGTGACTCTGCTGTTACTGTGACTCTGCTGTTACTGTGACTGTGACTCTACTGTTACTGTGACTGTGACTCTGCTGTTACTGTGACTGTGACTCTACTGTTACTGTGACTGTGACTCTGCTGTTACTGTGACTCTGCTGTTACTGTGACTGTGACTCTACTGTTACTGTGACTGTGACTCTGCTGTTACTGTGACTGTGACTCTACTGTTACTGTGACTGTGACTCTGCTGTTACTGTGACTCTGCTGTTACTGTGACTCTACTGTGACTGTGACTCTACTGTTACTGTGACTCTACTGTTACTGTGACTGTGACTCTACTGTTACTGTGACTGTGACTCTGCTGTTACTGTGACTCTGCTGTTACTGTGACTCTACTGTGACTGTGACTCTACTGTGACTGTGACTCTACTGTTACTGTGACTCTGCTGTTACTGTGACTCTACTGTTACTGTGACTCTACTGTTACTGTGACTCTACTGTTACTGTGACTGTGACTCTGCTGTTGCTGTGACTCTACAGTTATTGTGACTCTACTGTTCCTGTGACTTAACTGTTACTGTGACTCTACTGTGACTCTGCTCTCTGCTGCAGGACTCATCCTCTCCGGCAGACTCCCAGAAGCCTCAGGCCTCCTGAGACCCTCTGACCTCTGACCCCGCCCCTCTGGTTTTATGACGTCATCGTGTGTTTTATGTTATTTTATTTCTCAGTTTATCAGTTAGTCAATATGTTGGACTTTTTATTGATCAGGTGTGAGGTTTGTGTCTCGTCACCGCTCCCTCTGGACCAATCACAAGTCAGACCTGACCTGTCAAAGTGTATGGGACCTCTTTTTTGAATAATGTTTTTAATCTGTTTATTATTTCTCCTTCTTTCTTCCTGTGTGTGTGTGTGGGTGGAGGTGGTTGGGGGGGGGGGTTACTGAAGCAGCCATGTTGGATGATGTCACTCAGGTTGGAGGCATGTCCTGATGATGTCATCCTGTTTTGGGATTTTAGGATCTTTTAGGGGAGTGTCAATAAAACCAAAGTTCATCAATAAATGAATTTCTTCTCTTTTGAGACGTCAGTTTGTTGGTTTTTGAGCTTACACACATCCAGTGAAATCTATAATCAATATAAAGACGACCACAGAGTTTAAAGCGTTATTGAATGTTTGAAGCTTGTTTCCATTTTAACAGAATTCACTTAGCTGCCGGTTAAATATTGTTTGTTATATTTGATGTCAAATTAATCTAAAAACTCAACTCTTTATCTTTTATATTTGACTGTTAATTAAAGTTTCCTTCGATATCTGAGTCGTTATGCTAACATCAACATGCTAACATGCTAATGTTTAGCAGGTAGCAGAAGGCGGACTTATTCTGAGGTCATTTTACACAAACAGGAAACAGGACCTGCGTTCTTACAAAGGATGTCAGAGGGAGGTCTGGTGCCGGGCTCAGGAGTCCACAATCTGTACTGCTCTGGACTGTACTGGACTGTAGTGGACTTGAATTGACAGCTGTATGAGGGCTGAACCAAACCAACAGTTCATTGAATTTTTCATCTCATCAGTGAATGATCTGATTGTTTGAAGTTTTACAGATTTTATAAAAAAAAAAAACCTAAGTAACTTTAATCAGGAAAATTGAAATTAAAAAGAAAAAAAAGTTTTTATCACTTTTCCAGAAATAGAGCAAGAACATTGAGGCAGCCAACAAAGCAGAACAACCCCCCCATCACACCCCTCCCTTATTATTATATTACATTACATAACATTATATATCATTTTTTATTATTTTATATTCCAATATATTACATAATATATAATATTTTATTATTTTATATTCCAATATATCACATAATATATAATATTTTATTATTTTATATTCCAATATATTACATAATATATAATTTTTTATTATTTTATATTCCAATATATCACATAATATATAATATTTTATTATTTTATATTCCAATATATCACATAATATATAATATTTTATTATTTTATATTCCAATATATCACATAATATATAATATTTTATTATTTTATATTCCAGTATATTATGTTTGTATTATAATAAAATATGATACATATTGTTTGTATTACATTAGTCTCTGAATAGAACTCTATGAGAGTGGTAGTCTCTCCGGTGAACAGCGCCCCCAGTGGCCGGCTGTGGCTCTCTATCTCTCCGGTGAACAGCGCCCCCAGTGGCCGGCTGTGGGCTCGTGTCTCCGGTGAACAGCGCCCCCAGTGGCCGGCTGTGGCTCTCTGTCTCTCCGGTGAACAGCGCCCCCAGTGGCCGGCTGTGGCTCTCTGTCTCTCCGGTGAACAGCGCCCCCAGTGGCCGGCTGTGGCGCTCTGTGTCTCCGGTGAACAGCGCCCCCAGTGGCCGGCTGTGGCGCTCTATCTCTCCGGTGAACAGCGCCCCCAGTGGCCGGCTGTGGCGCTCTGTGTCTCCGGTGAACAGCGCCCCCAGTGGCCGGCTGTGGCGCTCTGTCTCCGGGCAGCTGGGGGATTTCCTGGGCGGAAGCAGCGGAGGGGGTTTCCAGTGTGATCAGCCCAGTCCTCCCCGCTGGATCTCTGAACTGGATCCCAGTGACTCTCTGTCTCCCTCTCAGCACCGACAGAACCTGGACTGCCCGCAGAACCCCGAACCCGTACCCGGACCATGAGGAGTCCGCCTGAGGCCCGGAGGTTCCGAGGCAGCGGCAGGTTGACGGTTTGAATCCCGGAGAGAGAGCGCCGAAACCGAAGAGCTGCTGAGCCGAGCTGCGCTGTGGCCTGCGGAGGAGATTCATGTGAGTCAGTAGAACCAGCAGAACCAGTAGAACCTCAGTGGAACCAGAGGAGGTTCTACTGACAGCAGCTGGAGAACATGTTATCTGTGTCTGTGTGTGTGTGTGTGTGTGTGTGTTAGCTCCCTGATGCTACAGCTAGCTGTGTGTGTGTGTGTGTGTGTGTGTGTGTGTGTGTGTGTTTAAATTAAAATAATCTTTATTGAACAAACAGCCGAGAAACAAGAAGCTAAAGATGCTAACCGCCTGTTAGCATCAGTGTGTTTACATCCAAGCTGAGTTCAGTGATTCAAACCGACAGAGAGCATAATCAATACAGGATCGATCATCAGTAAGTGATCAGAAAATAATCGATAATTGAACAATGAATCCGGGAAATGTGAAAGCTCCCAGAAACAGACCCGAATAATCAAACTCAGAGTGACAGACTCCTTAAATTATTGATAACTAATCAATAATATCTATAACGGTCTAATCATCTGTGTACAAATACTTAAACAGTAAGTAAAACTACACAAATATTATTATTAGTATTATTATTTCTGAATAAGATGTAAACAGATGTTGACACTATCAATATATCAGTATTAATCAATAAGTCATCGATTGCTTCCAGATCAGTTCTTCTGTTTCATAGAACCAGTGATTAAGCGATAGATGAAACCTGATCGATCAGAATCAATAAATCAAAGAGAAACAACAATCGATCATATTGTTTTTCTCGTTGTGAACATAAACAGATGAATTGATTATGTATTTATTGGTGATTTATATTGATTTATTGATCTTTATGGAGAGAAATGTCGAGTGCCGTCCACTGTGATATAAAATACACAAATATTGATCCTCGCACAGATTTACCCTTTCTTTTCTGAAATGATGGATTGATTATTGAAATGATTGATTACTGATTTAATGTCTCTTTATATTGATCGTATTTCTATATGTTTCTATTATAAGTATGAAGCAATAAACACAGTAGGAGCTGTACATGTCAATAATAATATCAATAAAAATATCAATAATCTGATCAGTGGATCATTTTCTTGATCAATCAGTTTGATAACTTCTGATAACACATAAATAGGAAGTCCTTTCACAATAAAACGTCACACAATCTGCAGACAGTAAATGTTAAATCATTGATCGGAATAGCTGCTGATCACTTTCTGTTGATTGATTGTTTGAGCTATAGGTTTCTGATTGGTTCTAATAATCAATGTTGGTGTCTCGCTAGCTGACGTTTTCATTATTCTTAATAATCAATATTATTGGAATCATCAATCACACTGCAGCACACATTCAAAGACCTGAAGCCTGATCAGTAATCAATACTCCCATTATTAAAGCATCAATCAACCTGATCAGCCTTCAGCAGTTAGCTAGTGTTTCTGTAGTGGAGACTAAACGTTAACAATGATCCATATCAGCAGTTTGAATCCAACTAAAAGCTCCCTGCACCAAACTCCCTTTAAGAAATATCACATTTTAACAATTCCTAACGTGTTCGTAACAACACGTAACTCTAGAAACACGAGCTAAAGGCCGTCATATGTCCACAGTCTGACTGTCAATACAGGATCAATATCATCTATAAAGATACAGTGTATACTGATCAATATCATCCATAAAGATACAGTGTATACTGATCAATATCATCCATACAGATACAGTGTATACTGATCAATATCATCCATAAAGATACAGTGTATACTGATCAATATCATCCATAAAGATACAGTGTATACTGATCAATAATCAATAAAGATGCAGTGTATACTGATCAATATCATCCATAAAGACAGTGTATACTGATCAATATCATCCATAAAGATACAGTGTATACTGATCAATAAGCAATAAAGATGCAGTGTATACTGATCAATGTCATCCATAAAGATACAGTGTATACTGATCAATAATCCATAAAGATACAGTGTATACTGATCAATATCATCCATAAAGATACAGTGTATACTGATCAATAATCAATAAAGATGCAGTGTATACTGATCAATATGATCCATAAAGATACAGTGTATTCTGATCAATATCATCCATAAAGATACAGTGTATTCTGATCAATATCATCCATAAAGATACAGTGTATACTGATCAATATCATCCATAAAGACAGTGTATACTGATCAATATCATCCATAACGATACAGTGTATACTGATCAATAATCAATAAAGATGCAGTGTATACTGATCAATATCATCCATAAAGATACAGTGTATACTGATCAATAATCAATAAAGATGCAGTGTATACTGATCAATATGATCAATAAAGATACAGTGTATACTGATCAATATCATCAATAAAGATACAGTGTATTCTGATCAATATCATCCATAAAGATACATAAGTGTATACTGATCAATAATCAATAAAGATGCAGTGTATACTGATCAATATCATCCATAAAGTAAAAAAAAATACAGTGTATACTGATCAATAATCAATAAAGATGCAGTGTATACTGATCAATATATCCATAAAGATACAGTTTTTTTGATCAATATCATCCATAAAGATACAGTGTATTCTGATCAATATCATCCATAAAGATACAGTGTATACTGATCAATATCATCCATAAAGATACAGTGTATTCTGATCAATATCATCCATAAAGATACAGTGTATTCTGATCAACAGGATCAATATTGGAGTGAGACTATAAATTCAGTAAACTGATAGAAACATTTTCAGAGTCTTTTTATGTTTAAATGTTATTGATCAGATGTTGAGTCGATTGATTTTATTTGATTGATTAAAACGTCATATTGAGATTGTTTTGAGAGATATGATTCAGGATCAATGTTAATGATTAGTTTTATATCAGTGACATTGTATGAGTCAGCATTATTAAATACTGCTGGGATATTCTTCATTTCATGTCACACTATATATTTCATCCATATATTAATTGATTGATTGATTAATGAATAGATAAGATGAATTATGCAGCACTAATAAAAACCTGTAATAGGGTCCCATCAGCACAGACTACCTGCTCCTTCTACTTCCTGCTCTACTTCCTACCTGCTCCTTCTACTTCCTGTTCTACTTCCTACCTGCTCCTTCTACTTCCTACCTGCTCCTTCTACTTCCTGTTCTACTTCCTACCTGCTCCTTCTACTTCCTACCTGCTCCTTCTACTTCCTGCTCTACTTCCTACCTGCTCCTTCTACTTCCTGCTCTACTTCCTACCTGCTCCTTCTACTTCCTGCTCTACTTCCTACCTGCTCCTTCTACTTCCTGTCACTGAACATAAATTATTATTATATTAATATATTATTATAAATGATCATTATTATCATTATGAGCTGATGTAATTCCATGATCTATCATACTACCATACCTCCCTAACAACAACAACAACAACAACAACAACAAGAAGAAGATAATAATATCTAATGATATATAACTAATAATGTCTAATATTATACCATGGTCTGGGGGAATCCTCTGATTGGCTGCAGGGTGTCCATTAATCTCTGATATATGGACACTTACTAAGTAGTTCCAGTCTAATTGTGTGTTCACCGTTCTAAATGAAAGTGCTAGCTGGCGTATCGGCCTGTCTCTAAAATGAGTAACCATAGCAACGGGAACGCAGTCAAAGCCTCCGTTTACAATTTATTGCAACACCACAACAAACTAACAACAACGAGTGACTTCAACATTTCTTTGAACTGTAACACTGACGCTGCAACAAGAACACTTCCCCTCTGAACTGATCCTTTGTATCACAACCCGTTCGCTGTTCAGCTCGCGGCTTCAGGCTGCGACCACAGTAACGTTACACACGGACAATGACATGGCTGGTTAGCGAGCTAGTCTTGTTGTTAAACATACTGTCAGATTATATTTACTGTTTGTCAACCGAACGCAGTGTTATTGACTTTGAATCTTGCTAGCATAACGTTAGTTCTCTGGCTCATAGCTGAGCGGACTACAATATCTCCCGTTGCCAAGTCGTATCTAAGGTCCGTCCTATTTACTGGAGGAGTGAACAACGTTTCCGTTGCATAAGAACCTTACGGGAGAGTAATGATTGTTCCAGGTATTACTCAAAGCCTCAGGCGTTACCAGGGAAGCTAAATTATGGTTGTGAAAAACTTTATATTTTGATTGTAAAACGCATGAAAATATAAATTAATGATCTTGATTTCTTTTCTTTGGCAAGTGACCACGGTATAAGCGGGATAATGCCCTTCGAGGTGTCCATAATCAGGAATTAAGTCCATTAATTCCTGATTATGGACACCTCGTCGGGCATTATCCCGCTGTCACAGCTCTGATGTCACAGGTGGGGTCTGTAGGGTGACCAATGTTCAATCAATCAAACTTTATTTGTATAAAGATAAAGCAGAAACCCCATCCATCCCCTGAGGAAGGAGCTCCAACCTGAGGGTCGGGACCCCCACTAGGGGTCGCCTGAGCTCCACAGGAGGTCCCGAGGACTTCTTGATTTGAGCTCTCGATGTAGATTTAGAGACACAGAACACAAGTTTATATTGCATTGTGGGAATATTTGACCGTATATTTGAATATAGTAATATTAGTAACTGAAGATTGTATATAATATAATTAGTATTAATACAACAATATTAACATAAAAGAAATTCTGTATTGTTATCATTTTAACAATCCGTCTCATTGTTCTATCAGACGTTTACATTTCGTTACATAAGTGAAGCCCACTGAGATAAAGCCCTGCTCTGTATACGCTTTCCATTTCCTTACACACCTTAAAGTCAAGAAGGCCTCGCGACCCCTAGTGGGGGTCCCGACCCTCAGGTTGGGAACAACTGAATTAGGGCCTGTCCTCATGAATACGTTTTTCTCGAATCCGGATAAATACTTTATCGTATCGGCCTTGCGTCCAGACGGATACAGCGGAGGGGGTGTGAAAACGGGTCCCAGAGTGGGAAAATCTGAAAACGCCAGAGAGTCGTCTGGACGGCGATAACGGATTAGCCACTAGACGTGTCATAACAACAACAACAATGGCGGGCTACTACAGGGCCACATACAGGCCTGGCATATGTACTACAGCGTTTTGGGTCGTTTTCAGTGAATCCGTGTGGACGCAGATATTTCTGGAAACGACGTCGTATTGGGTGAGGCCGCGTATTTGTGAGGACAGGCCCTTAGTTAATCAGTATTTTTTTTAATCGGTTAAAATATGCTGATGAAATCCCTTCTGGAGGAGATGTGTCATCATAAACAGCCAGGACACTCAGAATATGTGACCACGCCCACCTCGAACTCCCTGCCACGATTCTTCCCCAAATGTCCAAATGTCCAAATGTCCGAGCTGAAATGAAAGCTGCTTCAGGTGGAGTTTCACTCTGACTGAAAGTACAGGGCAGAAGTTCCTGACTGACAGACAGGGGCTTTCCACACAGACAGACAGACAGACAGGCAGACAGACAGACAGACTCCGTCCACCAGAATCCACTTTTATTCTTTGTTCTTATTAATGCTCAGTTTCTGTCAGGAGTTTGTTTGCTTCTTTCACTTTTGTTTTTATTGTTAAAATGTTCATTCAAATATTATCAAAAATCACAACATGCCCGAGTTTAATATGTAAATCAATATGTAAATCAATATGTAAATCAATATGTATTGATTGACAAATAATGTTTTTCTCCAGATTCAAGAAAAAATGTTTGTTTGCACCCAACAGATGTTACATCATTATAATAGTAGTTATAGTAATAATAACAATAATAATAACAGTAATAATAACAACAACAACAATACTAATAACATTAATAATAATAATAATAATAATAATATAACAAATATAATATTACGACAATAATAATAACAATAATAATAATATAACAATATAATATTACAACAATAATAACAGTAATAATCATGATAATACAAATAATAATCATTTATAATAATAATAATAAGACAGGCAGGAGGAGGGGTCAGGAGATTTTCAGAATAAAAGCATGTGACCGTGTGTGACCTGAGAGGCAGTGAGAGCAGTTTCTCTGCTGGTGGTTGCAGCGCCCTCTGCTGGTCGGACTGAACACAAACATTACAGTGAGTTGAGAGGAAAGCCCCTGAGCTGCTGCCAGCTGTCAGTTTCTGTGTCTGCTGTAATCAGACAGACAGACAGACTACAGTTCAGTGTAAACACAGTGTTTATTATTGTTTGTGGTTGTTTATTAACCTGCTAACTGATTCTCATTCATAAATATCTCCATATACTGGTCATAGAGTTCAGTGAATCTTCAGGTCTTTTATTTTGAAGTTTGGAAATCAGAGTCAGAGTTTACAGTCTGTGATGATGTCATACTGGAAGTGAGTTAATGATGCAGTCAATGGAAAAGCCCCTAGCATCCCCACAGCTGAGCACCGACAGGAAGGTGTGTGTGTGTGTGTGTGTGTGTGTGTGTGTGTGTGTGTGTGTGTGTGTGTGTGTGTGTGTGTGTGTGTAAAACAGCTGATTCTGTGGTCAGGTTGAAGGTCAAAGGTCACATCTCTTTGTGTTCTGAAGGTCATTAACATGCTCGCTGAAGTTCTGTAAACAGGAAGTCTGGTGGAAGCATTTTAATCAATTTCTCCAGAAGATTAATTATTAATTAAACCTACAATCAGCTTCTGACTCAACTCACCCATTATTATTTTATTATATAACCAACTAAACTAAACCGTGTAACATTCCTGTAATATTCCTGTAACATTCCTGTAACATTCCTGTAATATTCCTGTAACATTCCTGTAACATTCCTGTAACATTCCTGTAATATTCCTTTAACATTCCTGTAATATTCCTGTAACATTCTAGTCGCTGGAGCACCCAAAAGTTATAGAACAGTAATAAAGGTGATTGTCTGTGAAATTACAGTAATTATTGGTGTTTACACTGATAAACAACATTTATTCAACTTCCATAATTATACAAGATATCTGTCAGTTAACTAACTAATCCACTAAAATTACATAAGTAATACTTTTTACTGTTGATGTCAAATGTATTAACAGTATTAAACTTGAATTTTACAGGTAATCTATTAAATAAAAAAATTATAGATTTGCAAATACATTTTCATTTTCTTTAAATAAGCAATAATTTTATGATTATATTATAATGTATAATCCATATATATATCTCCATATATTTAAAAAATACAGAAGGAATCTGTCAAATAAACAGGAAAAACTCCATAAACGTACAGATTGTTTTATAGTGTAGCCCACGCTCACCAACATTAACTGCCCCCCCCCCCCAGGTCATGTCAGCGGGGAGGAGTGCTGACGGGAGGGAGGTGCAGATTCCCCTCCAGCAGGCGGCGCCCTCCCTGGCCACGCCCCTCGCAGTGGTCCCACCCATCACACCGCCCTCTCACCGCCCACCCAATCCCTGGCCTCCGAGCGACCCCTCCGCTTCACAAGGTAAACAACCTCATAGGTTAAAGTTGATTAGCTTCGAGGTCCAATCAGCAGCCTCCTCGGTGCTGTTCCTCAGATGACCACTAGATGCTGCTGTGATCAGCTCTGACTGTATTGCTGACTGACTGAACTCAGGTGTGTCTCTGTGCTCAGGTGTCCCTGCAGGGTTCCTGCCTCTGCACGGGGGATTCAGAGATCTCTTTGTAGAAACTCCAGAAGCCAAATACTGCTGCGAGGCCTGCAGGCTGGTCCTGTGTCAGCCCCGCCAAACCGAGTGTGGACACCGCTTCTGTCAGACCTGCATCCACGACATCCTCAGGTGAGACAGGAAGTGGTTTCCAGGTGTGTGCTACGCCGCCTTTCACCTTAAATAATAATTCCACCTGAAAGGCTTTATGGTACTGTGACGGTAAGGTCTACGATGCTGGTTCACTTCTACATCCAGCACACTACCAAACTACTGCCTGCTGACCAATCGATTCTCTTGGAAAAATGATATCAACATGGATCAGTGCATGGATCATGAGAGGGTCTCTTTGGAGGGATCAGAGACCAGTTTCGTGCTGTCCACTTTAAAGATATTTAAACTGATAAAAAGGACTGGATTGGTTATAACCCAGACCTCAAACCTTTTACAGCGTGTACCACCTCAGAAAATATCAGGCTCTCCCAGTACTGCCATTACGACAAAAGTTAAGCAGCAGAGGCCGACCCAATGGGCAGGTTTATTCCTAATAAGAAGATTATTAATGGTTGCCTGTTGTTGAATCCTGGGTGGAACTTGTTCAAGAACCAGAACTAGTTTGGTGGAAAAGGGGTCCTCCTGGTCCACACTTTTCTTCCCAATAGGTCCGATTTGGAGCCACGATAACCAACATTTGTGGTACTGGGAAACTCTCTCTGTGCTAAAGACCTGCTTACCCTAGCTTCAGGTGTATTTCTCTCTGTTTACTGTCCGTCTGTAAGCAACACCGTTAGAAATGCTCTCCGCCTCAGCTCCAGGTTAGCCATCCTCGCGGTGGCGAGGAGAGGTTGTGCCGGGGCTTCCGTCCCAGTGGACGATGCGGTAAATGCTCTAACCGACGAGCAAATACAGGTTAGCCGCACTTACTAGCTAGTGCTGTGTGTAATGCAGTGCTTTTCGTGCGTGTAACGTCAGACAGCTCCTTAGGTATCGAAATTTGGTTCCATGCCATTTGTTGATAGTTCAATACCCAGCGGTACACACTGCATCTCTCTGCTAGCACTTTCTCATGTTCCCTGGAAAAATAAAACATAATCTTTCTTAACTCTAAGCACTTGTAGTTGTAGCACTGACCATGCCTTTAGTTATTGGATACATCCCAGCTGATATGGAGGATATCGAGCTCTTGCCCCTCCGTTGTATGAATGCAGTTGTGAAATGAATTTAACGTAATGTAGCAGGTGGAGGTTGAAGTTCATGCTCTGACCAGCAAGCCGTCTTCCTGTTTGTCCTTGATTGAGTAACTTTGCGTCCTCTCTCCTCCTACAGTCATCCAAACCCGGTATGTCCAGCTGACAGGGAGCCTCTATTCAAAGACAAGGTGGGCAGGAAGTGACATCACAGCAGAGATTATGTCATGTTATTAATGATCAGATTATTGATCAGTTACTGAAGCTCCTGTGTTTGTGCTTCAGATCTTCAGAGACGTTTGCTGCCATCGGGAGATCATGGCGCTGAAGGTCTACTGTCGCAGTGAAGCTAACGGCTGTCAGGAGCAGATGAGTCTGCAGCAGATACCTGTGAGAAAAACATGTCCTATATAAATCCTATATATTCACATCTCATTCTAGAAACAATGAACGTAAAGATGATGACCAGTATAAATGATATCAGCAAAACTCTCTGTCTCTCACCTGTTTGTCTGTCTGTAGGACCACCTGAATGTGTGTCCGTTCTTCGAGGTTCCCTGTCCGTTGGGTAAATGTAAAGAGCGAATGATGAGGAAAGAGATTCCCGACCACCTGAGCTGGAAATGTAAACACAGAGAGACCAGCTGCGAGTTCTGCATGACCAAGATGCCCATGACCGACCTGCAGGTATCTCATGACATCATTGCTAATATCACTACTAAGCGACCAGCATGTAGACTAGATCCAGAGATCTAGAGACTAGTTGCCTAGTTGTAGAGGTCAGGGGACTGGTTGCTGCAGAATGGGGGTCTTTGCTGTCCAAGAGACAGAGAATCAATTTAAGAAGACTTGGAAGTTTTAGAGGGAAAAGGATTGACTGGACACTTAATCAGTTTTCTCCTGTGGTTCCTGCACCGCTTCTTAACTATTAACAACGAGGAAGCAATGGAGCGCAAGAAAGTTTTGTCAGCCTTGTTTTTCTGTGAATTCACTGTGCTTCCTCTTTTTCTAATTCTGCACTCGATATGATGATAGATAGAGTTTCCGTCTGTTTTCAGAAACACAAAGAGACGGTTTGTCCAGCATTCCCAGTGTCGTGTCCAAACCATTGCTCCTTCTCCTCCCTGCCCCGCAGTGAGGTACTGATCCAGTTTATCTTCTGCCATCTAGTCAGACTGTGGTTTAGTTTATCTCTGTGTCAGTGTGTTCACAGCAGCAGCAAGTATTGATGATTGATTGGTTTGTATTTCAGCTGTCCAGTCATCAACACGACTGCCCCAAAGCTCAGGTGAGCTGTCAGTTCCACCGCTATGGCTGCACCTTCAAGGTAACTCCTCATCGCCTACCTCTACTACTACGTCTGTTTCTAATTCTTAGTATGAATGTACCAGTGTGTACTGTATGTACTTTATATACTGCGTTAATGTTTTCACTGTGTGAACTGTGTTTCTTTGTGATTCAGGGTTTGAATCAGGACATGAGGCAACATGAGTCCACCTTCGCTGCTGAACACCTGAGAATGATGGCTAACAGAAGTTCCACGTTAGAGAACAAGGTAACCATAAACCGACCGATCAGAGGTAACCATAACAGCAGGTCTGATGTTTGAGTCTACCTAAATTGATCTTTGTTTTATACTTTCAGGTGGAGGATGTTAAAGGTGAGCTGTTAGAAAGGTATAAGGTGCTACCTGCTCTTAACAGTCGTCTGTCTGAACTGGAGAACCAAAACGATGAGCTGAGAGAGAAGAACCGACAGATGGAGCAGAAACTGGCCACCATGCAGGTAATACTAATACACTGATTCTACAACATGGATCATGTATTTGATTCAATGTGACTGCTAAAATATACATCTGAATCCAAGACAAAAGCCCTGACTCACAGTGTTTATAGATAAAGAGTGAAGGTGTGCAGTGACAGAGTGCCATTCATCTCTCTCTTCCATAGAAACTAATGAGCACTCACTCAGAGAAGCTCCTGGAAGTAGAGCTGGAGCTTCGTTCTCTCCGTGTACTCCGAGACGAGGTGGAGAATCTAAGAGGAACGATGGAGAACGTCCGAACTAGACTCAATGCTCTGGAACAAGGGGGACGCAGCGGGACCGGATCCACAACACACACTCTGGGTGAGAACGCAGACACACTAGGGACCAATTGCAGAGGTCTGGGGACTAGTAACTAAGGTCTAGGGTCTATCTTCAGATGTCTGGGGACTAGTTGCAGAGGTCTGTGGCTAGCTCAGAGGTCAGGGGACTACTGTATGTCGGGGAACTTGCACACATTAGATTACTAATTCAAAAATAATTAACTCTCCACAGCATCCCTGGAGACTCAGCTGAATCGACACGACGACATGCTGAGTGTCCACGACATCCGATTAGCCGACATGGATCTGCGATTCCAGGTGCTGGAGACAGCAAGTTATAATGGAACTCTGATCTGGAAGATTCGTGACTACAAGAGACGGAAACAGGAAGCAGTAGCGGCGAAGACACTGTCGCTTTATTCACAACCATTCTACACCGGGTACTTCGGGTACAAGATGTGTGCCCGTGTCTACCTGAACGGAGATGGCATGGGCAAAGGGACACACCTGTCGCTGTTTTTTGTGGTGATGAGGGGCGAGTATGACGCCTTGCTGCCCTGGCCCTTCAAACAGAAGGTACTGACCGTTTACTGTCTGGTTTACTGCCTACTTTGCTAACTGGTTGCCTACTGATAAAGGTCTAGTACGCTGACCCGCTGCCCTGGACCTGACTGGTTTACTGGCGCTTTATCAGTGTTGGGCAAGCTACTTGGAAAGTGCAGTGTGTTGTGTGTGCTGTTTGCGAGAGGTCGTAGGATTGGGATGTGACAGCACCGTCATACCGAAGTGCTTCTGTCGACTCTGTATGGCGGTGGCGTCACTTACTGATCCTTAGCAGTTTTATTTCAGACCCCAGCAGAAAGCACTGCTGCGTGCTTCAGATATGTTTAGGAAAATGTAGCTTGTGTGGACACTATTTGATCAATTGATCAATGAAAGCACTACACTACTGTAAAGATATACAACAGTGACACGACCAGCCCACTACTGAGACATGTATTTAAACTAGTAATGCTGCTACTTGTAGCGCCACTACTACAGTGCAGGTTACTGATCGAATACATTAAATATTCTGTATTTCTGACTTTCTGTATGATGCTAATGACCCGTATCTCTCTCGGCCTGTCTGTCAGGTGACTCTGATGCTGATGGACCAGGGTCCATCGAGGAAACACTTGGGTGATGCGTTTAAGCCTGATCCAAACAGCAGCAGCTTCAGACGTCCTGCAGCAGAGATGAACATCGCCTCCGGCTGTCCTCTTTTTGTGTCTCAAAGCGTCCTGGAGACTGGCAGCTACATCAAAGACGACACCATCTTCATCAAGGTTAGTACACATCACCTGCTACTACTGTTCCTCTTGCTGCTCCCATTCTTCTGCTTTTCATCACATTACAGTCATTAGGAAGAAACTTTTGTCTAAAGTAATGGACCATAGGGACTTTCAAACTCAATTTATAAGACGTAGGTCTGGGGACTAGTTGCAGAGGTCTGGGGACTAGTTGCAGAGGTCTGAGGACTAGTTGCAGAGGTTTGGGGACTAGTTGCAGAGGGTCTGAGGACTAGTTGCTGAGGTTTGGGGACTAGTTGCACAGGGTCTGGGGACTAGTTGCAGAGGTTTGGGGACTAGTTGCAGAGGTTTGAGGACTAGTTGCACAGGGTCTGAGGACTAGTTGCAGAGGTTTGGGGACTAGTTGCAGAGGTTTGGGGACTAGTTGCAGAGGTCTCGGGACTAGTTTCAGAGGTCTGGGGACTAGTTTCAGAGGTCTGGGGACTAGTTGCAGAGGTCTGGGGACTAGTTGCTGAGGTTTGGGGACTAGTTGCTGAGGTTTGGGGACTAGTTGCACAGGGTCTGAGGACTAGTTGCAGAGGTTTGGGGACTAGTTGCAGAGGGTCTGAGGACTAGTTGCAGAGGTTTGGGGACTAGTTGCACAGGGTCTGAGGACTAGTTGCAGAGGTTTGGGGACTAGTTGCACAGGGTCTGAGGACTAGTTGCAGAGGTTTGGGTACTAGTTGCACAGGGTCTGAGGACTAGTTGCAGAGGTTTGGGGACTAGTTGCACATGGTCTGAGGACTAGTTGCAGAGGTTTGGGGACTAGTTGCACAGGGTCTAAGGACTAGTTGCAGAGGTCTGGGGTCTTTTTGGTTTATAAACTAATCAATAGCTGTGTTGTTTGGTTTGATCGGCAGGTTACCGTGGATACCTCTGACCTTCCTGACCCGTGACGTCGCAACCCCTCTGACCTCTGACCTTGCTGGTCTGAGATCAGCTCACCTGTCCACGCCACGGAAGAGCAAAGGATGATGGGAAGGATCAGTTACAATGGAGGAGGCTCGTCTATCTGAGAGTGCTGACAGTAGAAGAAGAGTCAGACAGGAAGCAGCCAATCAGAGTGAACTTTACAGAAACCGTAGGGCGGGTCCTCCTCTGATTGGCTGATGGACTCCAGAACTGTGTGTGTGTGAATGGATCAGTGTTACCATGCCATCTCCATGGTGATATTACTCAGAGCCAACATGGCTGCCGCAACGAGAACATTGTTGTTGCTCATTACTGATGCCGTGCATCGAGCTTTACTTCCTGTTTATTACCTGTTTACCAAGGCATGCTGGGAAATCCACTACGGCCACAGAGGATCCCACAAAAACCAGTGAAGACCAGTACAAACCAGCAGAGACCTGTAGGACCCGGTCCGAACCAAAGTATCTGATCTAACCAACATTATTGGTCTAATGAGGTTTTAACTTCAAATGTTTTCAGTTTATATGATTGATGCCAAACACAGCAGTGAGACCGGTTTCAGTGAGACAGGTCTCAGTGGAATATAGTTGTACTGTTTTAAATCAACGTGACTGATTATCTGAAGACTGACGTCACAGGTCCAAAATAACCTGATCTGATGTTAAACTGACCTGAGAAAAACTTGAAGAATTTATTTAAATAAGAGACGATCCAGAAGTGACTGTAGAAGGATTGATAGTTCGGATCTGACTACAGACCAGTACAGTCCGGTAGAGACCAGTACAGTCCGGTAGAGACCAGTACAGTCCGGTAGAGACCAGTACAGTCCAGTAGAGACCAGTACAGTCCAGTAGAGATTCCCAGTGAGTTCCTCTGTGGCTTTTGGGTTTTTCAGTGTGGACAGAATTCATCTGACTCATTTGATTCATTTGCACAGTTTGAATGTTTGTTAAAGTGTGAAAATAAACAAATATAAATAAAATGTTTCAGTTTTATTTCATTCAGTGAAAACCAAAAACTGAACCAGCAGAATATTTTTAGTGATTGGTTGGTTTATGATTCGGTGCTTCAACAGGAAGATTTGTGAACAGCGACAGAAATAATGTCTGAACATGTTAAAGAACAAACACTTTATATTAAATAACATTACATCAGTGTTAACCTTCATTGAAAATAATCAATCATGTTATTATTTGGTCATTTATGAGGTTGTTTTCTTTACAAACACTATTGATCCCATAAACTGTCTCTTAATTTTATAAAACCAAACTAATTTCATAGATTGGCAGCCAGTAAGCTGTCATTCTGCTAACAGTAGCTTATGTAGGATTTGACTATATGTGACTTTCAGTTTAACAAACTAACTCTTTATGTAAATTAGATAGATAGTTAGATGTTAGCTAATGATATATACAGTAATATCTGAGACTAATGTTTTTTAAACATATCAATGAATATGTATATATAATCCGTATTCTAAAATACATCTTTAAAACATCTGGGAGCAGCTGGAGAAACAGTTTCTACTCAACATCATCGATTTTAAAAGAACGAGAGGAATGAAACAATCCCATAATTATTATGGGATTAACTGCCACTCTAACTAACTCTAACTAACTAAACTCTGTGTATTATATGGCTGTGCTGGGATTAAACATTCTGCTGTTAAAATGAAACGTTTAAAAAAAGACATTTTTACAATATTTATGAAATTCTGCATTTTGCTGTGTGAGCAGTCTTCAGATATAAAGCCTCTCTTTTTATATAAGTCTATATACATTTTATTTATAAATTGTTTATAATTCTTTTAATACATTGATATTTTAGTTGGTGTTATAATTTTAAAATAAATGTTATGATTGATATAATAATAAATACATTTCTTTCCTGCAGTTCTTCCTCCAGCTCGGGAGGTGGCAGCAAACGCTCGTTACTACCCGCCATTAAGAAGACGAAGAAGAAGAAGAAGAAGAAGAAGAAGTAGTGTGGAGTGTTTGTGTCTTCAAACTTTAACAGAAAGTTTAATTAAAACACCGGAAACAGAACCGGGACAGAACCGGGACAGAACCGGGACAGAACCGGGACAGAACCGGGAGTCGGTGAGTTTACTGGCGGGAACCGGACACGGTTGTTAACGTTACTGTAACTCTGCAGGTTAGCTAACAGGCTAACAGCTAACAGGCTAACAGCTAACAGGCTAACAGCTAACAGAGTGTTCAACTGAACTAAACCGTGTGTGTGTGTGTGTGTGTGTGTGTGTGTGTGTGTGTGTGTGTGTGTTGTGTGTGTGTGTGTGTGTGTGTGTGTGTCTGTCTGTCTGTCTGTCTGTCTGTCTGTCTGTCTGTCTGTGTGTCTGTGTGTGTCTGTCTGTGTGTGTGTGTGTGTGTGTGTGTGTGTCTGTCTGTGTGTGTGTGTGTGTGTTAACAAACATTATTATTCAGACAGAAATCCAAAGTGAGTTTGTCCAGCAGAGGACAGCAGACCATAATAATACATAGTAGACTGCACACACACACACACACACACACACACACACACACACACACACAGTTCATGAGGACAAACCGTATTAATCAATAGTTCAATGAACCTGCAACAATTCACAGAAACAGAATTAATCTACATTAGTTACAACCTGCAGTACATTATAATAATTATAACTTTATCTGTTCCACAAAATACCCGAGATTCATGTGAGTGTGAGTGAATGTTAGTTTCTGTTTGATGGGCCATCACTGAGTGAATGTGTGTGAAAGAGTGAATGTGTGTGAAAGGGTGAATGTGTGTGAAAGAGTGAATGTGTGTGAAAGAGTGAATGTGTGTGAAAGGGTGAATGTGTGTGAAAGAGTGAATGTGTGAATGTGTGTGAAAGGGTGAATGTGTGTGAAAGGGTGAATGTGTGTGAAAGAGTGAATGTGTGTGAAAGGGTGAATGTGTGAATGTGTGTGAAAGGGTGAATGTGTGTGAAAGAGTGAATGTGTGTGAAAGAGTGAATGTGTGTGAAAGGGTGAATGTGTGAATGTGTGTGAAAGGGTGAATGTGTGTGAAAGGGTGAATGTGTGTGAAAGAGTGAATGTGTGTGAAAGGGTGAATGTGTGTGAAAGGGTGAATGTGTGTGAAAGGGTGAATGTGTGTGAAAGAGTGAATGTGTGTGAAAGGGTGAATGTGTGTGTAGTGTAAAAGCACTTTGAGTGGTCGGAAGACTAGAAATGAAACTATACAAGTTCTGACTAATGTAACTAGTAATAAACCTTAAAGGGACAGTTCACCCATCGTACCTGCTGTTTCTCCCTCTGGAGCTGCTGAAACGTTCCCCTAAAAAAACATTAACATCTCTGTTTCTGTCCTCAATCACCTGTGGAGTCCCTCAGGGAAGCATCCCGGGTCCTCTGAACTTTCTACGCATTCTTCAGATCATCATAAATATCGTAAATCATTTTTACATGTTCTTCCAAACCGATGAAAGACTAATTCAGAACCATCAGATGTCACTCAAACCCTCAAAAGCAACGCCGTTTGTTGTGAGCTGAACGTTAGCTGTCTCAGTGGCGCTAGGTGAGCTAGCTAACGTTAGGAGGCCGTTGATGTTAACATCCTGCGCCGTCAGGAGTCTCTCGCCCACGAGACAGTGCAGCTGGTGTTTCGTCTCCAGCCACCGTCCCGCTCTGTGATTGGTCGGCCGACAGCCGGCGCCGAGGTCAGTAACAGTTTGTTTGTGTTTGTTTTTTCTCAGATCAAATGTTTCCTCTGAGTCGACCTGCAGCTCTGCAGCTCCTCCGACTGTTTACTACCAACACTTTACCCACTTTACCCTGTCTCACTCTGTTCACTAAGGTAACTGTCTGTCTGTCATCTAATCTGTCTGTCTGTCCTCCACACTTCCTGTCTGTCTGTATCTTTACATTATTTACAGTAAATATATAAGAAACCTTTATAGATGCTTTTATTTTGATATCAGAAGGAAGTACCCTGTCCAGTAAAATGTTTATTTACTTTCTTCTCTGTTAAAAAAATTCCTATGAGCCAGTAAAATGTTGTATGTGTATAAATATGTAAGTTTTAAATTAGGAGATAAAAATGATCTGAACACATGAACTGACTTTAAGATCTGATCATGGAACAAACTAATGTGTGCAACAGGATAAAGCGGAGAGCTAACAGAGGAACTTGTGAGAAATGTTTAAATTAAAGTTTTATTTAATGGACGGTGAAATGAGTCTCCAGGAACCTCCCTCATACCGACCTGTGTCTGTTTAGGATCCGTGTCCTCTGTGTGATGAAGCTAAAGAAGCGCTGGAGCCACTCAAACACCGGGTGAGACAGACTGCTCTGCACTGTTATCTGAGCGCCACCTGCTGGTCAGCAGTGTTTGCACCCAGAAGGTAGAAAGAGAGACACTCTGTCTCACTAACTGTCTGTCTGTCTCTACAGTTTGTCTTGCAGCAGGTGGACATCAGTCTTCCAGAGAACAGGTTGTGGTCAGACAGGTACAGGTGGGACATACCTGTCTTCCACTTGAATGGACAGTTTGTGATGAAACATCGAGTGGATGTCGTCCTGCTGGACAAACTGCTGCAGGACGCTGAGGCGCAGGAAACATGACAGTTTATTATCTGATTGATTCCAAATGTTCAATAATAAATAAACAGAAATGATCAATAAATGTGTCTGATCAGGTTTATTATGTCAAACTAAACTGTCAGCCAATCAGGGTGGAGGATCATTAGTGATGTCACTGTTATGTTTATAAAGGATTTAATGTGTAAATGTTTAAAAGTAAACTAATTCAGCAACATATTGATCCTGATCAATGATATTGACAGTGACTCTCTGGCCTTTATCAGCATTTTCAACTCAATAAATAATTTTTGTTCTGAAGTTTGTCTGTGAAAGTCTAAAATGTCCCGTTAGCAGATTAATAAACTGTCTGTGAGCTCTGAAACCCGAACCGGACTCACCTGAGCCAGGAGCTCATCAATATTTAACCTGCTGATGGTTCAGAGGCTCTGGCTGTCGGCCAATCATGGCCGTCCTCCAACTGTGTGACCTGGAAGTGCTGCGAGGCGGTGTAGAGTGTGCTGGTTGTCATCGAGACGCTCAGGTGTGTTTTCCGTGAGGTGAAGATGTGTTGATGGCGTCCAGCAGAGCAGAAGACGTTCAGTTTGCTCTACAGAGAGCGAAGAAGAAGATCAGCCACCTGCAGCAACAACTGCGCAGCAAGTCAGACAGGTCCGAGTTCATCTGCCTTTAATCTTTACAGCGAGTCAGACAGGTCCGAGTTCATCTGCCTTTAGTCTTTACAGCGAGTCAGACAGGTCCGAGTTCATCTGCCTTTAATCTTTACAGAGTCAGACAGGCCGAGAAACTTTAATTTTAAGAGTCAGACAGGTCCGAGTTCATCTGCCTTTAGTCTTTACAGCGAGTCAGACAGGTCCGAGTTCATCTGCCTTTAATCTTTACAGCGAGTCAGACAGGTCCGAGTTCATCTGCCTTTAATCTTTACAGAGAGTCAGACAGGTCCGAGTTCATCTGCCTTTAATCTTTACAGCGAGTCAGACAGGTCCGAGTTCATCTGCCTTTAGTCTTTACAGCGAGTCAGACAGGTCCGAGTTCATCTGCCTTTAATCTTTACAGCGAGTCAGACAGGTCCGAGTTCATCTGCCTTTAGTCTTTACAGCGAGTCAGACAGGTCCGAGTTCATCTGCCTTTAATCTTTACAGCGAGTCAGACAGGTCCGAGTTCATCTGCCTTTAATCTTTACAGCGAGTCAGACAGGTCCGAGTTCATCTGCCTTTAGTCTTTACGAGTCAGACAGGTCCGAGTTCATCTGCCTTTAATCTTTACAGCGAGTCAGACAGGTCCGAGTTAATCTGCCTTTAGTCTTAGCGAGTCAGAAGGGAGTTCATGCCTTTAGTTTAACAGGTCCGAGTTCATCTGCCTTTAATCTTTACAGGGTCGACGGTGTTCTTTTATAGTCTTTACAGCGAGTCAGACAGGTCCGAGTTCATCTGCCTTTAGTCTTTACAGCGAGTCAGACAGGTCCGAGTTCATCTGCCTTTAGTCTTTACGAGTCAGACAGGTCCGAGTTCATCTGCCTTTAATCTTTACGAGTCAGACAGGTCCGAGTTCATCTGCCTTTAATCTTTACGAGTCAGAGATATTACCTGTGTCTATTAGTAGCATTACCTGTAATCCAATGTATACTTAGTGGAAAGTATAAACCAATGTTTACACAGTTAATATAATTATTATTATTAGTTATTTGAATGTCTGATTATAATAACATCGTAATACATCTGTTATAAGACACAGACGTCACTAACTTGATCAGAAAGGTACAAATTAATTTCATTGATCATTATAATTCAGTGTCTTATGATAGCATTGGTGTGTAGACGTGTTCAGGGCGGGACTATCAGACATGAAGTTTGTGAAGATACACTTCCTGTTTCAGGGTGAAACATCGAGATTTGGCGTTATACCACGAACACGCCCTCTGAAGAGATTAATGGTGTGTGCTGTGTGTATGCTCGATCAATTCAATTAAAGTTATTTAAAATGTGTGCAAAGTGCTAAAAATGGCTGCTAAATCAAAAATGGCGGACTTCCTGTTGTGTTTGCGGTATGGGTCCAAGAGGAGTTTTCTGTACCGATTTTCATGCATATCGGTGAAACAGGCCGTTGGCACTGCTCTGTAGGGGGCGCTGGTGAGCCATTTTGCCCCGCCCATGTGGGAGACCCATAGAATACGTACATTTTTGCCACCGCCGACCTGTGTGCCGTGTTTCATGAGGATCAGAGCGAGTTGTGGCCTCCAAAAATGCCATTCTTTTGAATTCATTCAGTTTCATCAGAGCAGCTGTTGGTTGTTTTCTCTGTTTTAAATGAAGTCAGAAGTTGTTGTTGTCTCGTCACTTCTGGCAACAAATACCTTTTTCACATTTAAACTGGTGTTAACGGTGAAAGGTTAACGACGGATTACAGCACTATTTCAACTTCTCAGTGTCGCTGGTGGAAGAAGGCAAACAGGATTTCATGCTCTGGTCATGTGATGTGTATTAATTTTGTACTATCAAAGTTAAAGACCCCCCTTTTAACAACTAAACAGTAAAACATGGATTCTACATGACAGACTTTTAGTAAAACACCCTGCAGTAGATACTCTGAGGAGCACAGAGGAATTCTGGGTAACGGGTCACAGTGTGGTAGATTAAGCAGCCAATAAACTGCAGGAACCACGGGACCTGCAGGTCATGTGATGTGATGTATAGACTGAGTGCAGATTCAGTTCAACAGATTCAGCTGAACTCTAAAGTGAGTCACTGTGGTGCAACTGGAAACTGGACCAGTTCAACCAGTTCTTGTGAGTCACTCTGCTGTTAGACCTGATCCAGGTGTGCTGTGGACCCTGATGAACTGATCCAGGATCAGTCTCTGGACTGCGCTGGTGTCTGATGTCAAACTGTTTCTGTTTCCAGAGAATCCAGTTCAGAGAGTCCAGTAGAGACCAGTCTTTCAACATGGACGCCCAGCAAGGAGCTCAGGGACTCCCTGGTGGACATGTACACAGGTAAAATACTACTGCTACTACAGCTAGTCCTACAGCTAGTCCTACAGCTAGTCCTCCTACTACTACTGCTACTACTACAGCTAGTCCTACAGCTAGTCCTCCTCCTACTACTACTACTACTACTACTACTGCACATGTACACAGATAAAATACTACTACTGAGGAAAACAAAACAAAATAAAATACTTACACTAACAGTAAAAGCAGACGGTCAAACTGTAACAGGGTCCCAGGTTTGTGTTAGAAAGAGCTTAAATAATTTTTTTAGGCAACACAGATATTGTTCAAATATCAATTTATTAATCTGTACTTGTTCCTCTGATCATCATTTCAGTAAGAAATATCAGTAAGGAGCTGTAATGAGTCAGTTTGTCCACCAGGTGGTGCTGTGGTCCCTCACATAGCTGAACATCTACACTGAACTCACAGAGAGGAGGTCAAAGGTCACATACAAGGAATTTCACCACCACCAATACTACTACTTCTATTACTACTACCAGTATTACTACCAGTGTTACTACCAGTATTACTACCAGTATTACTACCAGTGTTACTACCAGTGTTTTCACTCACATTTTCATTGGTCTTTATAGGGGAATACATTTTCTCCATTTAAGTTCTAAAATGTTTTTTTAAAGTCAGTTATCAATATGAGGCTGACGGGTTCTCTAGGTTCCTTCAGTTAAACGGTGGGAATGTTCAGTTCCTTCAGTTAAATGCTGTGAACGGTCGGTAACGTTGGGTTCCTTCAGTTAAACGCTGTGAACGGTTGTTAAGGTTTGGTTCCTTCAGTTAAACGCTGCGAACGGTCGGTAACTTCGGTTCCTTCAGTTAAACGCTGCAAACGGTCAGTAACTTTCGGTTCCTTCAGTTAAACGCTGTGAACGGTCGTTAAGGTTGGGTTCCTTCAGTTAAACGCTGTGAACGGTCGGTAACGTTGGGTTCCTACAGTTAAACTCTGTGAACGGTCGGTAACGTTGGGTTCCTTCAGTTAAACGCTGTGAACGGTCGGTAACGTTGGGTTCCTTCAGTTAAACGCTGTGAACGGTCGGTAACGTTGGGTTCCTTCAGTTAAACTCTGTGAACGGTCGGTAACGTTTGGTTCCTTCAGTTAAACTCTGTGAACGGTCGGTAACGTTTGGTTCCTTCAGTTAAACGCTGTGAACGGTCGGTAACGTTTGGTTCCTTCAGTTAAACGATGGGAATGTTCGGTTCCTTCAGTTAAACGAGGAGAACGTCTTTGTCCTCTGACAGTAATCTGGTGATGATCAGATCAACATGGGGGAGCGTATTCTCTGTAATCTCCTGTGTAAATCAGTCTGGAGGACGTTGGTATATTTGGAGTTTGACTTTGTGCTTCATCAAACATGTTTGCAGTGAAACGTCTGAGAGGGTTGATGTTAACACAGAGGATGAAACCTGCTGGAGATCAATGACAGCCACGATTATTAGTTACTACGGCAACAATCATTTCATCCTCTGTGGCCACAATATAGCGCTTAACAGCAGGATGACACTGTTCCAGAGCACCTGGAACATGGGTTTGTACACGTGTGATTGAACACATCATGTTACCTGAGGATGTCCCTCCCTGTTAACACTCAGGCCTGACTGAAGGCTGAGGGGTTGATGTGGATCAGAACATGAACTGAAAAGACTTTGTGCCTGTAGTCCAGTAGTGGACTGAGCACTGGGAGACGTCCCAGTGGGCCAGTGTGGTCTGATAGAACCATGTTCTGGTTCACTGGCTTCCTCCACATTCCCACCCAGCGTACGCAGTGAAGCAGCAGTGCCTCCTTAAATTAGATTTTTCAGTTGTGAATCTGTCTGTGTCTCTCTCTCTGTGATAATCCATCATCTGTCGATGTCTCTCGCCCAGATCAAACACACCATATGAAACAGTATTCAGTTGTTCAGCCAGACTCCAATCGCCTCCCATATGTGGCCGTTATTTATTTCTGTCTGTCTTCTTCTGTGGTGGCAGAGTTCAGTCCTGTGTTTCCTTCCTCTGTGCGCCTGTAGATGAATAGAATTGCGGTTTGACCTTCATGTTGGAAGATTAAATTGGCAGAAAATATAATTGATGTAATGATTTCTGACATTCTTTCCTCTGTACTTCAACCGCCAGAACAAGGAAAACCATTATGTACACATCTGTCCTTATGTTTTTATACATATATAAATAAAAGCACCAAGAACATTAATAAAAACTCTTTATACAAGTCAGGTGTTTCTGTAAGTAGCAAACTAGACAAATAGTGCAAAGCCAAATAAATATAGTGGGTGATTATGAACAACACTGGTTATCAGAATGTGGTATGCAGGCTGACCCCCACTAGGGGTCGCCAAAGCTTCACAGGGTCGCAAGGTCTTGATTTTAAGGGGCGTAAGAAAACTTAAAAGATACACAGAAGGCCTTTATCTCAGCAATGAAGTTCAAACAAAGAGCAGAAAACAGTGCCTCTGTCAGAACAGAACAATATTAAATCTCATTGTTAAAAAAAAATAAAAATACAGAATACAAGAATACAATAATCTCTGATCAATATTCACTGGAAATAATCAAACTTCTTTCAGTGATTGAGTTCACTGTTGATCAGTTTATCAGCTGTTCTCGGCTGTTATTGATACTGATCAATAGAATATGAAATATACAGTAAATACAGTCAGTTTACTCACTGATAGAAAAGGTTGGGAACCAGTGCTCTAGTGGTACACGGGGGAATCTTATGAAATATTATCATAATACTACAAATTTCTGAATGATTAAACAAACTATGAGACCTCTGAAATGTTATTTGAAATACATTTTGAATTTCACGTTCATGAACGTAGCATGTGCATCCATCCGTGATTAGTTAGGAGCTAATCTGTGACGGTAAAATCAGTGCCTGAAATGGGTCAGTACTCAGTACCAGCACTTACTTCTTATTAAGTACCACCACCTCTGGTAGCATTGGCTGTAGCCACCACTGAGGTTTTTTTCACAAGGGGTAGACAATAAATTATGTTCAGAAAACACTGATCACTCAGATAATGTGATATTTTAACAGCAACCGTCCATAGAGCTGCTTCTGTTCATACCCGCAGCCCATGTGAGGAGTCGGCTTTTGTCGCCGCTCATTCTTTGGCGTCGGTTTGCTGTCCTTTAGCTGTACTGACCCTGGACGCTCAGAGCACCGCGGCAGTGTTGGTGTTCAGCTGGGTGAGATGATGGTGTTGAATGCAGAGCTGAAGTTCACAAACAGGGATCCGTCTAGGGCTGCCCCCCTTATGGTCGACAGAGGCCGGCTGATGTCCAGCGGCTCCGACCAGGACTCTGACTCTGTGGATGAAGACCCGGCGGGTTCAGGCAGCGACAGGAGAGGAAGAGGAGCTAGTTTGTAGCCAGTTTATTAGTCAGTAACTGTTAACGTTATCCATCATCCATCGTATCGATCAGCCAGGATTAGTGTTGAACAACCAGACTGTGATGTTACACTGTGTTGGAATAAAATTAACCAAAATCATTACTGCTCTTTCTGTTAGCAACAGGCCACTGTTCACATACACACATCCTAATCAATACTTTGATATCAGAAAAACATTCAACTAGTTGGCTATGAAATCCAGTTGGGTACAGCCCTAGATCCTTGAGTCCCTGGAGAGTGGAGGTGTGCAGTCCCATGTTCATCATCCACTGACCTGGTGGCCCGGTAGCGAACTGCAGAGGTCCATCAGGGTGTGTGGATAACAGCGATGCTTCCATGTGTCGGCTGATCGGGGCCGATGTCTGTTATAGATGTTAAATGTTGTGTTGGTTATTTCTTCAGGCAGCAGACAGTCTCACATCCTGCAGGAGGAGAACAATAGAGGCAGAAACACTGATCTTTCTACACTTATTTGTTTCTCTGCCACAAAAGAGCGAATAAATAATTTATAATGATAATGTTTCATTAGTTGTTGGAGCCGTTGCTGTGGGCCCATACGCTGCATCCTGAGTGAATAATGGAAGTGAAGTTGTTTCAGGATGTTCAGAGCTTTCATACGTCTAAAGTCATCATCATCATCATCATCATCATCATCATTTTAATCATTGTTTAAAAATGGA